ACCATTTTTAGGGGACATTTTAAGGGAAAGGAAATGAAAGACCTTCTTTGGAATGTTGGTAGTGTCATAGCCCTACCCTTGGTAAGTATTGTCCGCTTTGGCATAGTCCCCGGATGGCCCGGATGTCCCTACACCTCACGGTTTTGTCCCTTTGAGCGCCCGGATGTCGCCTACACCTCACGGTTTGTCCCTTTGAGCTATGGGTCCACCCCAACTCTGCCAACTCTAAACAGGCGCTAACCAAAAGGTTAGGATACCCTCTTTATGTATAGGATCGCCTTTAATCTCGTCCGTAGCCGATGTGGGATCGCCTTAAGGTGATTGCCCCTGCATGGTTCCAGGATGTTTCACATTCACCCCCCTAAGGCGAACTCAGCCGTCCTCATGAGGTTTTTGCCCACACCAGGCCAGACCGGGAACGAGGGCCGGGCTCTGATACAATTTGTCATAGCCTACCTTGGTAAGTATTGTCCGCTTGGCATTGTACCCGGAATTGGCCCGGAATGTGTCCCTTACACCTCACTGGTTTTTGTCCTTTTGAGCCTAGTTGTCACCCACTTCTGCCAACCAAAGGCGCTTACCAGGATTAGAGACTACCCTCTTATGTTATTAAGACTCGTTTACCTCTCCGTAGGCGATGTGGGATTCGACCTAAAGGGATGGCCCCCTGGATGATCCAGGAGGTCACAGGTAGGGCTAGCTATATATCTATAGTTAGAAGTGTATTTTAAATAGCCTGTTTGAGGAAAAAAGTAAAGATGCAAGAGAGAATGGCTATGCAAAGACATTGCCCAAAACTGGTCTAGGCATGCTTTCAAACATACTGTCTTTGTGTGATATTGACTTACACATAATCTGTTGTGAGGTTTTAATTAAATACATTCTAGATCGCTAGGAAACCATATGCCATCATAACCATGCTTGAAATTATAAGAATTAGCTCATGAAAAGACTGTTCTAGGAAGAGGGAGCAACATGAAGAAGGTCAATGGAAGGTATGTCCCAAATAAAAAAAATTGGATTGAAAACAAGGGATTTTTGCTTCATCTATACTTACACCCACATTCACTGAGGGAACCCCAAGTTTCAAGTGGCGGACCTAGATCTAGAGTTTGTTAGTTATTAATATGAAAAAAAATTGCACATGTAGAGAGAAGGGATTTGACAGGAAAATCCCTTGTAGTATTGTTGTTTCTATTGTATCTTAGAAAATACATGAGCAACTTGAGTTATATGTTCATGCTCGTTTATACTATTAGACCTACATGAAGGGTGATATAGCGGCTTTATCAACTCTATTTAATTTGGGCCTGATTGTGGCCAAAAAGCTTCATTATGAGTTCAAATTAAACCCACCATCACCAGTGAAGCGAAAAGGGCGAAGGGAAGGCTAAAGCTAAAAAAAGGGAGCTGAGAGACTTTGAACAAACTACATCTAAAGGAGAAGCTGCAAGGGAAAAAGGCTTCAGTCTATTATAAATGTAATGTATGTTTACATGGTGTTGTTATTGGCCACAATAGAGGGCTTCATAGGCAATTACAAGAACAACCCTTCACAAGCAAATCTTTGTGAGTTAATTTTCAAGTTACAATCATATTTGATTAATTATGACTCCTCCTTTAATGAATAGCAACCTATTTCTTATCTGTACGTCCCATCTTATTGTTGTGTTCCAAGCTTCTTGTCTGCACGAAAGAGAGGAAAATGTTTTAGCAGTTGTAAGCTAATGAGGTAAACTCAAACCTCCTCTAAGCCCTTATGCTAGTTATTTTCGTAGCAATTTCTTTTGCCATTTTTTGAAGGATTTGAAATTATTATAATTTTTTAGGGTGAAATTTAAGAAAAATTTAGGAATTTATTTATAAGTTGACTAATATTTTCGAAACCTTTGAGGTTTTCTCACTCGATTGCTACGTCATTTCCAATGTCGTTCTGGAATGATGATTTCAAACTCTTACTCAACTATAGTATAGGGACGCGTAACGATGACTATTGAAATAGAGTGGAGAAAGGGTCCTTTCTTTTCACAGCTAGTCCGCCTCTTTCTCTTTGTCTTTTGCCTATTGTCTTGGTCGGTTTTTAGAGTTACTTAAGTGTAGGAGGCCTTTCTTTCGCTTAGCGACTGAACCAACCTTAGCCAGCATGTTACCAAGCCACCTTTGAGCATTTCTTCTTTTCTTCTTTCAGTTGCTTCAGCGAAGTCGCGAACAGCAGTGCATGTTACTGCGGCGTTAAGGGAATTCTTGAGACGGGTGTTGGTGCCTTACGAAGGTTCCAGCGACTAGAAAAATTTTCATCAGAATGCCCAAAATTTGTGCATAGATCATTGAATATTGCAATTGGGCTTTGCGAATCGAACTTTGGACTAGTTAATCATTGTTGTAACCAATTAGGCCTAAGTGAAAAACTAGCCGAAATAAATTGTTTTTGAATGGTCATTCCATGGTGCAGAGCACAATCACTTTAATATTAGTTGCTTTAATTGTCATTATTGATACAATCTACTAAATGATGTTTTTCTCCTAATTTAAATTAAATTATATTTCTTTTATTTTATAATATTTAGGATTTATATTTGGTTTTTTTCTGTTTTTCTTTTCAAGGATATCAAAGATTCCTAGTAGGTTTAAATAATCGATGGCAAAAAATTATCCCTCTCCTGACAGATGCCTTAATAAGTTTCCTGCACATATTCTGCAGAATCAGTGCAACTCATACCACACTTTTCATGAATCCTCAAACTCTTTTCTTAATCTTTATGAAACCCGGAAGAGCCATCCTTTTTAAAAAGAGTTTAGAACTCATTTCATTAAGTTTAACAAATGCAACCTCGCCACAAATTTACTCTGGTTCAAAAGAAGGAACAAATCACCACATGTATTAGCGTTCAATACTGAGGAGAATCAATGAGGGAAGATTGGTAAGTTAAACACATGAGGAAGAGGGAACCTCAAATAGCCAATAAGATTTCAGGTTCCAAGGGACTGAAAAGCGTAAGAAAACATTAGGATAGAAAGATCATTATCCCCTTGGCAAGCTCAATGACTGAAATCAGATAATTATTTTTTTTATTTCTCTAGGGATAAAACAGAAAGGAAGCAGTGCACCACATTTCAGCCTACTTAGCGCAATATATAGGAATTCAACTAACTGTACTGAATCTATTGTAACTTAAAAGAAAAAAAAATTAGCATTTAGAAAAAAACTGAACAAATCACATATACAATTAAACAGGATTAATTCTCAGCAAATTGTAAACATATTACCAAAATCACAAGAACTGTCTGAAAACTGGAAGGGGACCCATTAATATCTTTCAAATTTTTGTTAGAAAATGAAAATCGACTTATATAAATAAAAGAAAAAGACAACGAAAAAACAAAAACAAAAACAAAAAAAGAACCTGTTTATGCAGGCAAGTACCAGTAACTCCTTCTTCTGGGGGAAAACTGCGGGTTTTGTACAACTTCTTACTCCTTTGCATTTCACATCTGTAACAACAATTTTAGTTAGATATTGAGTGCTCAAACCTAACTTAGGCAATATCCATTTTGCTTGGGATTTTTACGGTACCAAAAATGTATATAGAATAGATTTGCTTTCAAAACACCGATTGGCGAGGTCAGAATAGCAACCATGCTGATGGACCGGGTTTGGAAACACATTTAAGTTATTTTACTGTTTTTCTCACATGTATTTTTGCTTTAAATGTCTACAGGAATTTGTGTGCATCGTGAACAGTATGTAGAGCTTTTTTCATAATAAAGGTGAACAGAAAAGAATGACTTTTATCTGTTGGCTAAAAGCTTAGAACTCACAACAGCGTTAAACATGCTTATTAGAAACTAAAAACAAAATGCTGCTTTTTTTTATTTCCATAATCTAAATTTTTTTTTTTATAAGAGGTTTGTAGATAGGCTGTATAATCTTGAATCATTTTCTGTCCTTTTGGATATTGATGTTCTTACTTCCCAAAATGCAAATATTGATCATCATGGACTGGAACAGAACTTTTAAGTTTGGAAGGGGCTAAAAGCAATATTGATTTTACTATTTTTGATTTGATTGATTTATATTTTTTTCGTATTGATGTGTTATTTGCTGTTTTAATATCTAATTTAAGTTTGCTTTAAAATGAAATTTTTGAAAAATATCAAACTACTGAAAAAGAGTTTTCTAGGTTTTATTTTTTGGGTGATTGATTTGGTTGTTTTGCTCTTTATTATTTTTATTTTGTTTTCTAATTATATGGCTTTTACTTTTGCGTCCCTAAATTGATAAAAAAATGAGTTTTGGAATTTAAAGCAGTTTGGTTCTAATAAAACTAACCTATCGTTGTTCTTTTGTTATAATTTTTCTACTCTATCCACTTCTATCATGTTGCTTGACAATGGATTGCGAGAACTGTTTGTAGTCTGCAGATAGGACGTACATAACTCTTATCATAAATGGATTCAGGGACTTGGAGCAGAGGCTGAGCAAAGATAATATGGATATAATTCGTCGGAGGGTTTAGCAAGAATTATATGTATGTAAAACTTCTTTTCTCTCACTTTCCTTATAACAATGAGCTCTCCATGGTATTTGTATGAATTTCATCATTAGGTCTCGCTTTCCCATAATTTTGCGACTGTCAACAATCTAGCAAGCTCCATCTAGAACTGCATGCTACTATCCAGCAATTTGATTATTCATAAAAAATGTCTTGGTTATTTTTCAAGTAAACATATGGTGTGTATCTATTTATTTTATATTTATTTCTTCTCTTTCAAAACAAAACAGGGAAAAGGAATGAAGTGTTGCGTTTTTTATTAATTATAGGAAAAATAATTATTTCGTCCATGAGGGGGTCAGTATTGGTCAAAATATTTGAACCGTCCTGTATTTTGCCTTTTTAGTCCTTTCGCTAAAAAAACCACGCGTTTTCCATTAATTTTTAAGTAAAAAAAGGACAAGATTAACCTTAACCTTTGTATACTTCTTTTCCATATCAATCTCTCTTCTCTCTAAAATACTTGCTGCCATCAAACTTTGTCTCGATCACCAAACCAACTCTTTTCCCGTGTTCCGGTCACCGTTCAACCACCTCTAGCATCGGATAACTTGATGTGGGTCCGAAAGCATCATCTCGACGTCCTTTCCTCCATTAGCGCTGAGTTCTAACGAAGATAACCCAACTCTCTCTCGATCGCATCGCAGCACCTACCCATCACCTGCTCCCGATTTCCGATCACCTCTCATCGATCTCAAGCTGACGAAGCCTCCTTTGACCTCTAACTGCCAACGAGATGCTTTCCTCTTCCTTTCTGATGCTGAGAAAGCTGCGAATCGCAACCTTTGTCACTTCACTGCTGTCGTAGTGATAGTCATTAAACTTCGGAGAAGTCAAGCTTTTCTGATGAAGGCTATCAATTACTGATGAAGGCTATCAATTAGGTAGGTCTCCAAACATCACTTTCTTCTTCTAGACTTCACCACTTTCTTTTTCTAGGCCTCAGTGACATGGCGTCACATGCTTGACAAAATACCCTATTGAGAATTTATTGAAATCTTGAATTCCCGTTGTTCAGCGAGTGCTGGGTCTTTTGGTCTTTAGCTATGAAGCCAATTTTTTTTGTGAAATCTAGTAGCAGAATGCAATTTGATAGTTGCGATTTTGTTTCCTGATAAACCTGATGATTAATTTTTTGGGAAACTGAGTTTGCATTTTGGTTTGATTTTCAGCTATGAGTTTGAGGTGAATGAGCCAATTCCTTCATGACTAGAATTCCTTCATGACTAGGTAATGAAGGGTTAACGTGAGAGGGTTGCCTCAAAATGTTCTTATAAAAGTGCAATTGATACGCCAAATAAATCTCTAACATCCGATTGTTCAGACCAATCAGGTTCCAGTGGTGATAGTAAGTTCTCAAAAGGGTTTTATGGTCAAGCTTTTTCACATGGCTATTTTTGTGTTTGCCATTTTTGTGAGCGCTCGAAATAGAGAAAAGTGAGATTAAGAGAAACTGTTAATTAGATAATTTAGGGTAGTTTTGTCTTTTTATAAAAAATTAACGGCATAAAGTGTGTTTTTTTAACGGAAGGACTAAGATGCTCGAAATAGAGAAAAGTGAGATTAAGAGAAACTGTTAATTAGATAATTTAGGGTAGTTTTGTCTTTTTATAAAAAATTAACGGCATAAAGTGTGTTTTTTTAACGGAAGGACTAAGCAGTAAGCGATAGGCAAATCTCAGGGACAGTTCAAATATTTTGACAAAATACTGGATTACTTAGATAGGTAAATCTCAGGGACGAAATTATTATTTTCCCTTAATTATATGCTGCCTAAAGAAACATGAAAGTTGCATTGAGTTTTTTGAAGTTTTTCCACATAATATTACATATCGTGCTAAATGAGTTTTTGAGTTTAAGATTTTCTTTTTGCAAGTAATTGATTTCTTTTTTACAGTTGCATTTAATATGCCACAGCGAAGTGTGATCTTAATTGCTTGTGACAACTATAAGGAGACATAATTTAGAATGTTGCATTTAGTAGAAAGCCGTCAACTTTATTTCTCACTGGCACGCTTGCATAGGTACGGCAGCCAACTCTAAGCCATCAGCGAACTATCATCACCCCGAAGGCAAGTAAAAGTTGAACTTTAATAAGAGTTACAATGGCCGGTGATAGAAGCAAAAGAAATGATGCTTCAGCAATTCTGCCTCGAAAAATCAATGTGCAGAAATTCGCAGAATCCCGTTCTTCTGCGCTTGAGACTCTTCACTCAATCATCTCGGACCGATTGAACAACGATTTCCGGTCTCGAAGAAACAAGAGAAGAAGAACCACTGCCTATGACAATCTAGTTAAGAAGAAACATAGAAAAAGGAGGAAATTAGTGGATAAAAGCAATGCTGTGGATTTCGAGAAAGTCAAGGAAAGAGTTCCTCCTCGCCGCCTTCGTCGGAGGATGGAACTTAGAAAGAATCCTGAAAGTGGTTTCTCTACTTCAGGGGATGGGACTAAGAGACTGAGGACTCATGTTTGGCATGCGAAAAGGTTCACTATGACAAAGCTGTGGGGTTTTCACCTTCCTCTGGGTTTGCAGGGCAGGTATTTTTGATATTCAAACGCTTCTTGATAAATTTATAAACCTTCTCTTTGTTGTTGACAATAATAATACCGAGTTCTGTGCGTGCAGAGGAAGAGGTTCTAGGGCTTTACTGAGGTGGTACAAGCATGGAGCACTTGTGCATGATGCTAGCTATTATACTGCTGTGCAATTAGAGGGTCCAGAGGCAGGCATCAATTTTTCTCTATAATTAGCAGAGTCTAAATTATGAATTTTTGTTGCTTAATTTACTTATGCATGAAGATAAGAATCCATATCAAGTTAAAGTAAAGGGTTTCCTCATATGTAAAATATATACATCACTTTCTTGGTTTGAAGTGAAAATGGTGCTTTTTTGTTCACATTTATTGAAAGGTTAGTAATGCAAAAGCTCTTTATGCTTATTAGATTTATAGTCTAAACTTCTTATGATTTGTGTCTCTAGGAGTCATTAATGTCAGTACTAAGGATGGTGCTGGAACCTTCTCCATCTACTCATTCTGACGAAGTTACCAATGCTATTCTTTCTGGTGTTACTTATGGGACTGCCATGGTAGTTACTCGCTGCAATTCTTTCTTCTTCCTTTCTGGTTTTTTACCCTTCGAAGAGGGATTATCAAAAATGGATATATAAAATCCCTTCTCTTTTCAGCTTCGTCATGTTGGAGCTAATGTTTCTCAGTTGATAGCTCCTGTGACTTATATGTGGCAACCTTCTCATCTTTGGAATGGAGAAAACCGTGGTAATGAAAATAATTATGATGGAAGCAATAAGCCACTAAGTTCTGAATCTTGTCCTTCCGGTCGCCAGCTTTGGGTGTGGATACATGCTTCAGCTTTTAGCGAGGGATATGACGCTCTGAAATCCGCTTCTCAGAAACAGGTATGTACTTTTTGTTCTTGTAAGAGAATTAAAGCATGGTAATCAATATTGTTTGATTTTGCTGACTCAACATTCCATCCTCACAATTGAGGTTTCAAGAATCATTTTTTTCCTTCCGAAATCATAGCATTTTGCTAAAAGATAGTCGGTTGACCATTATATACATATTCTACTTTTTTGTCTCTTGTGATTTGTTTTAAATTGGTAAATCATGTTACCCAGTGATATAATTTTTGTTTTAAACATTAAGTTTGTAATGGGGATTGAATAATGTAATTCTGTAAAACTACATCCTTTGCTTGCTGTCTTAAAGATGTGATTTTCTTAGTTTTATATCTAATTTTTCAGATGAATGAGAGTGGCATGTTGGTAAATTGTTTCTCGCTTGAAGGTCAACTTGCAAAATTGGAGGTAATGGGATCAGGGGCATTCCAACTTCTTCAAAAGATATTGCATCCTGTTTCTTGGTGAGCTACTTAAGATAATGCTGAATCCTTTGAGTAGAAGTTAACGATGGCTAAAGTTGCTTGCTTGCTTGCAGTGAATCAAATAATTCTTTTCTACTGAAGAAATGTTCTATTGGAGAGGCAAAAGATGAGTCTGAATTTAAGAAGTCCATACTTGAAAACGAAAAGAATATTTCTTCATGTTCAGTTTTATATTTTACAGCCATGGATCCTCGAGTGCTGCCTGAGGAAAAGATGGCTGATGTTCTCGTGGCAGCTCCTACTGTTACAAATTATGTATCAGAAGAGGAACCCAGAAGGGATGTAACTCTACCTGGAAGTTCAGAAAAGAGTAAAGTATTACTTTTGCCTTCATGTTCAAAACCTGAAGGGGACAACAGTTTCTCTGACAAGAGGAATCTGTGGGATGCTAGCTGTAGAATAAGTAACCCATTGGAAGAGAATATTCTTTGCCTGGAAAAACACCGTTTGTATATGGATTCTATTTGCCTTGAGGATCGAAAATCAGAGATAATGAGTGCTTCAACTAAGGTGCAGGGTTCAAGATCTTGTGCTGTTGTGCTTCTTAAAAACAATGATCAAACAGGCTCGTTCATGGGGTAATCCTTTTACTAGATTTAATCTCTTATTCAACATAATATTTTTTACTCAGTGTATTGAATTAAATTAATTGCTGCTATTTTTGCTTTAGTATCTTGACTGCATATGCCTGTTTCCCTTTTTTATGCATGTGTATTCTCACTGAATGCTATTATTTTTTAAATATATGGCTTTGTTGAGCGCTGTGATTATCAAGTTAAGTGATAGCTGTAAATATTCATTCGTATGTTAAGAACCTAATGTTAGATTCCATCTGTCAAACCTTTTTCCATCCTTGCTTAAAATTTGGAAGATAGTAATGGACAAGAAATACATATTCCAAAATCCTTCGTCTCTAACAACCTTCAAATATTGACATTCATTCTTGTGTTGTTCAATTATTACTTGTTTTTAAGAATATGTTTTAAGTTGGCTTTGGCACTTATACTTAATATGGTGAATTTGTCCTGGTAGTTTTTTGATTTGAATATTCATCTATGGACAAATTGCATTTGTATTTATCCTAATGGGAACAGGGAGCTGGAGTCCTTCCCCTTAACCAAAGGCTGATGGGCTTTAGTTGTCAAGTTTTTGTGATGTTCGGCTTTAAATTACACCTGAATGGATGAGATTGGCCTGGCTTGTTTTCTATGAATTCATATGATATCTTATATCTGTGTCATAGAAACATCTTTCAGAGCATGAACTGTATGTCTTCTCTAGCACTTCATGGACGTTTTTTTTTTTTTTTTTTTTTTTTTTTTTTTCAGAGCATGAACTGTATGTCTTACTCTAGCACTGTCATGGACGTTTTTTTTTTTTTTTTTTTTTTTTTTTTTTCAGCATGGTCAATAATATACTCCCCTTATGCTGGGTTTCAAGGTCTTCTGGATTCCTTTTGTCTCCAAGGGGGGCTCATGACCATAGTTCTTAGATGTAGAGCGGTGGATTTCATGTGAAGTATGTGAACTTACATATCATGGACATTTTTTTTTTTTTTTTTTTTTTTTTTTTTTTTTCAGATGGTCAATAATACTCCCCTTATGCTGGGTCAAGGTCTTCTGGATTCCTTTTGTCTCCAAGGGGGCTCATGCCATAGGTCTTAGAGAGAAGCGGTGGATTTCATGTGAAGTATGTGAACTTACAATGGACATTTTTTTTTAAAGAAAAAGGGAACTATTTGTGCTAAAGTTTTCTCCTTGCAGGCCAGGTTACCATTTTTTCCTTCAGATTTTCCTGACTGTAATGCATACTTGTCTTTTATGGCAACTGAAGCTGTTGCTCTACACCAAAAAGCAGAACGGTTATGTCATGCTGTAAGACCCTTGAAACTGCCTATTCCACCCCCATGGGATAGTGTCCGTGTTACTGTTGACAAGATGTGCGTTGCAGGACAAGATGCTTCAGTTTCGACTGCAAAAGATATGATTGATTATAATTTATCATTGAACTCCGGATGCAGGGATAGTTGCACGGCATCATCATTAAGAGTTGATGGTAACTCGTTTGATGGAATTGTTGCAAGGACATCCAGTATACTAACTGATTTCTTGAATGAAATCAACAGTGACAATTTACTATTATTTCCTCAAGTTCCAGAAAGGAAGCTGAGTCTTGTAGAGGTTATGAAAGATGAGAGCAAGTTTGGTCAACTTCATAATGGTATTCAAATTACTTGTGACCGTAAATTATGTTTTGTTAGAGTTCTCCTCCATGCATACAAGGAAGGTGTTTTTGAAGAGGGTGCGGTTGTATGTGCACCTTGCCTCAGTGATGTATCATTATGGACTCTCAGGTGCTCTTCCAAAACTTCTTTCTGTATTAACTTTTTCTTATTACTTGGTTTTAAAATTCGAAGTCTTGTTGATTATTATGAGAATTCTTTTGGATAATTGTTATATTTTCGATGGATCTATAGTTAGCAAAAATAATAGATGAATATTTTGCAAAATTTCAAGGATATTTGTGCAAGTATCTCTTATATTTTTGGGTTCCGAGCCGGGGACTGACAGTGTCTTTCACTATAGAATGGACATTGCCAAGAGCATTTCATTTACAAGGGAAAAAAAATAGTGATTTTGATGTTACTGATGTGGTTGTTGCATGCTTCAGATCGAAAAATAATGAGGCTAGATTTCAAATTCCAGAGTCTTCTGTATGGTCATACTTCAAAGAGCAATCTTCTGGTAAGTGGGAGCTCCAGATTCCAGAAGACTGTCTTGCTAGAGAATCTCATCGATGGCCTATTGGTTTTGTTACAACTGGATTTGTTCGAGGGAGGTTGGTGATGATTCTTATTCTCTTGATACATAGCCACTGTTGTTTTTTTCTTTTTCAATGAATTTGTGATATCTTAAAATCATAGTATATGTTTTTGATCTGCAGCAAGAAGCCAGTGGCAGAGGCCTTATGTGAAATTGTTTTACTTGCTCGTCTTAGGGAAGAGCAATGGAATGAATTGCCTGTGAAACAAAGGAGGAAGGAAATATATGTTCTTGTCAGGAGCTTGAGATCATCAGCATATAGACTCGGTCTTGCATCCATAGCCCTTGAACAACAAGAGGAAGATGTAGAATTCTTGTGATGATTTTTGACATTTATTTATTTGTTAGGAGGTTTTCTTAGTTACAGGTACATTTTGTCAAGTAATTATAATTTTTGTGTGTGCAAAAATATGTTTATCTTCTGTTGTTTTTGTAATCTTCATTGCCTGTATAATTTTGGTGTGGCCTTAGTAATTTTGTTCCTGAAGCAGCAAACTTGGGCTAGCAATTTAGGTGCTCCGCAATAATTTCTAAAATAGAGTGCTATTAACTTTTGGTCAATTCAAAATGAATTAAATAAATATGAATAAATTGAAAATGAAAAATTGCTAAAAACCAATTATCTACAATCAACAGTGGTCTGATTGTTTTTTCTATTTCTCAGAAAAAATGTAGGAAGTGTGATGTCTCGAGTCTTTTTAGTATCACCAATTTGATAAATGTTATTCAAAAAAATGATGGTTATTTTTACTGTACAGTGCAAAACGTTAAATTTAATTTTAAAATATAATTTGTAAATTTAATTTCAAAATGTAATTTGTAGAAAGGATGCATGAATGCATACCATTACTTAACAATAGGTATGATCTTCCATTAAAAAAAAAAAGGCTTTATTACTTAACAATAGGTATGATTTCCCATCAAATAAAATAAAAAAAAAAAAAGCTTGATCTTGTGTCAAATACATAAATTCATTCTTCTATTTATTTTCAATAGAAAAATTTGAGAAAGTTTCAACTTTATTTTGATATATTGAACACTTTAATTTATAAAATTACAAACATTAACACTTCAACTTGATTTATTTAACATCTTAACTTGTAAAATTAAATCAATAATTAATCTTAACATTTATTGGTAGGGATGAGGCTAAATAATTGCCCCCCTCCTATTTTTGTTTTTTTTTTTTTAAAATTCCCTTAACAACATTGTGATTTAAACCTTGGCCTAAGGGAATTTTCAAGACACATTAATCATTTTGCCTCGCTCTTTTTTTTTAATTTTTATAATATTCTTTTAATAAATTCTTATAGTAGCTTGCTCCCTATTTATTGGATAGTTAAAAAAATATAATAATTATTTTTTCAAAAGTTGTATCATTCACTATCAAATCAATATAGTCTAAAAATCAATATAGTCTAAAAATTATTATTGTTAATACGAAGAAGGGTTCAACATTACCAAAAATCTTCAACGATAGATACATAATATCAGTCCGGCAAAAATTAATTTAAAATGATATAAGATTTTTCATGAAAATAATATATGTATCTCTCTTATTTTAAAAGTGAAGGTGCAAAAATAACCCACTTTCATAATCTGAATCGACCGCGCATGCTCTGCAATTTGAATGCATTTAAACAGTCATTCAACGACATTTAAACAGATTGTTAAACGACCAAGTTTAGAAGGAACTAACTGCTTTCAAACGACCGGGCAGAACTATTACGCAGATAATTTGCTAATCGTAAAACAACCAAGATTTATTAGCTGTCTCGAGGCACTATAAGCAAAGGATGATTGGGCTTAACCAGGCCCAATCAGTAATTCTACTTATTTTTTCTTATTGTTTCGTTAAGCATGAAATTAAAATATTTTAGATCTTCAACCCCTATCTCCAATTCTAGTGTCTTCAAAACATTCTTTAACAATGCATTTTCAGGTTGTGCTTTTTATCAGGAAGATGAAGATTGAGATTGTTGTAGATGGCAAGGAAACTAAAGAGTAAAATCAGAAGCGGCTCAAGTCCTTCACAATTCTGATACAATGAAAAATGTATTGAAAGGAAAATACAGAAAAATACAAATGATCTACTACCCTATATATACCCATATGATAAAACTAATATCTATGGTAATGGTATTAGGACTGGAATCTTGATATTATTAAGATAAAAAATTATTTAACCCAAATAATATATGCATTAGCAGATGTCACGTCTGCTTAACGGCCGCAAAACACTCTTTCAAGAAATTATCAAGCACTGATATATATATGTCTGGAAAAGTTCGGTAGTGATCAACATGAGGAGATGACTGAAAATTATACGAAAATACCTTTTTCCCCATCTTCTTCTGGTCCTCAATTAGACACTCTATTGATTGAAATGGAACAACCCTATCACCTGTGCTATATAGATAAAGCTGAGGACAAGAGGGCTGATTCTTTGAGAGGATAGAGAAAATCTTCTGTAACTTCCTGCGATAATTAGAAAAGTACCAATAACAGCCATCTATTAGTTTTCCTTGACAGCCAAGATATGTTCTGGTTGCCATTTCCTGAAGTTAATTAGGTCTCTCTCAAAGGGACTATAAATTTCAAATATAATATTCGATAGAGCAGGCAACAAAATACTTACTGATCAACATCAGGCAACTTCAGTACTACAGAGAATAGCTTCTCCAATATGGATAGCACCATGGATTCTACTGACGGTGGTTCCTTTTCCTGTATGTTAGATTCAATGGATTGACTTCCTAGTACATTCATTTGTTTGGCCTCAGCCAAAGAATTTACTGTAGAGCTGCGTTTCTTCAATAAAGCAGCAGAAAATCCAGCAGCCCATACCTGCCAGTATGTCAAAAAAATTTTCAGGTTAAAAAAAAAGGCTTCAAATTTAATGATCAAAGAAAATTTTTTTTTAAGAAATTAACAATGCATCTTCACCAAATTTTCAGGAGGGAAATTCCTTTCAACTACGGACAATTATATTTAGTCAGGATTTGTCAACGATACTCTAAACCATGATTCCATGACTAGTAAAAGCACTATATGTTATAACAATCACTATATGCTATTACAGTTGAATTTTTTATCATATTACAAGACCAGTACTTCCCAGCTTAATACAACCTTAACTATCAAGAATTTACTAATTCTCTCATCTACCCCAAAAATCTCTTCCCAAAGTACTTTTAAGTCCATTTCTAGCTAGATTCCATAAACTCCCACTTGAGTTCCAAGTCCACTTTCCACTTCATTACAAGAGTAAGACTATTGTCTCAAAAGCAAAGATGTTCATAAATTAAATCAAACATCAGATATCATGGAGTTTTAATATAAGTATACTACAGACTACTATGTTTGTTCAAACTCCCTAATCTTTCAGGCAGGATGTACTCTTACTCGGAGCTCCTTCACAACAGTCCTAGAAAGACATACTCTTTCTTTTGTCAATTCTAGTTCAACGCTTTTGGTTTAAGTTTTCTCCCTCTTTACTTTGCTTAGCGAGTTCGACTAGTTGATTTCTTCCTTCGAACTGGGAAGTTAGACGAGGGAAAGTCAGAAAGAATATAAGAGGACAACCTCTTCCCAACTAACTAAATCAATCATGTCCATGGCTCATAATGCAGGCTAAGGATATCTGAGATAATTGAGCCAGCTGTACATGTATAAATTTTTCCTAGGTCATTAAATTCTAGCTAAAAAAAATTAAGAAACTCATTCAGGAAAAGGATATACTTCATAGTTCATATCAGCATGGTGAGAAAAGAATATATGAAACATCAATTAATTTAGATATGAAAAACAAAGTGGGGTAACAGACAACCAGGAAGGATTAGAATTTAACAAAAGCAAAGAAATGAATGCTTTCATCATGTAGTATAAATCAAAAATAAAGAAAAAAATGCAGAACCAATAAAGTGCCAGATTAGGTGGTTTTTCCTTTTATGAGGATTACTATTTCAAGAAGGTTCTCCGCTTTTTGAATGAGACGTCTCCTTGGACCAAAATATATTTAATGCTAAAAATGGTGTATGCAAATGATTAATTCAAGATCACTAAAATCTGCGAATACATTCCCCCTCACAGAACAAGAGAACCCAGCTTTAGAAATTTCATACCAAAAGGAATTACAGCCCCAGTAACCACTCTACAGAAATTCCATCTTATATATATAAACAACACATGATCAACTGACAGCCCCATTAAGAGACCATAAGAACGATCATAGCCTCATAAAATTTACTAATTAACTCAACCTACTTCACCTAAGTTTTTCAATGCATACAATCTATGTTATTAAATTTATCAGAAAATCATTCAATTCAACAAGTTATAAGCCCACAAACAAACCTTAGGATTGAAAGGCTCACCGCCTCCCGAATCAACAACACATCCTTTGATTTTCTCCTTCAGGTCTTCTCTACCTTGCAGAATGTCAAGAAAGTACCCATACCTGCCAAAAACACAAAAAAATAAAACAAAAATAGAAGGTCAAACCCCAAAAGCCAAATATTATACAAGAGTAAAAGGCAATACTAAACTACTACGATAAGTCAGTCTATATGAATAAATATAAAATAAACCTACACAAACCAACCGGTGTTACTAAAAGTGTGAAAAATCAAACACCGTTCTCTACCATCTTCCTCTCTCTCCGATACCCATGAAATGAGCTCATTTGCCAAAGCAGTAATACGCTTCTCAACTCTCTCCCCTAAATCGAACCAAAGCAACTCTCCCACTCCAATAACGAACGTAACAGCATGAATCCCTCTTGAATTATACCACTCAACATACTTCTTTAGATGTTTCTTCTTCGCTCCAAGCCAACCCAACAAGACTACAGTCACAATTGGGTCTTTAGTACCCGAAGCACCCACATTAGCGTTGATGGCTCTCTCCGGAGCTGGGTTCCAAGTCAAATTACCACCGTATTGATGAGATTTGAAGCTGAGATTAGACTCGACAGTTGGGTTTGATGGCTTTAAGAGATGAGAAGAAGAAAGAGAGAGAAGGAAATTAATAGGGCTCGGATTTGGACTGACGGGCAAGAATGAAGAGTGAATACGAGAAAAGGAAAGGTGGGCGGTTGAAATGAAATGGGTTTGGCGATGGTGATTAGGGGTTACTGACCGATAAAGAATGCGAGGAGACTTGAGAAAAATTATTGATGGATATGCTGATTTAGCGAAGAGTTGGCGATGGAAAATCCTCGCCGGAGCTTCCATGGCGGAAAATATTATTTGAAGAAGTTGATTTCAATTTTAGAAGAGAAAAGGAAATGGGAATATCGAACGACCAATACTTACTACCACCGACGAGGCATGATTCGAACTCAATCCCAACCGTATTTGGAATCGGCGTTTTCAACCAACAGCTTCGATCCGAGTCGCTCTATGCAAGAGCGGAGGCGGAGCTACGTTATGGAGAAAGCGGACATTTGCCCTCTTAGTTTTGTAAACATTACAAAATAGGACCGTTTTTTATTTGCCTTATTCAATTTGCCCCTTAAAAAATAATAGTATTTTCCTCATTTAAGAATAAAATAAAATTTGTCTATTTTTATTTTTGTTTTTTATGAAATATTAAAAGACAAAGTTGAGAATTAAAAATTTTATTTTTTGTTTTATTTATTGTATAGTAAGAGAATATATTCCTAATTAGACCGTATATGTTGTTTTTTGTACGAGTAAAGTTAATTAATTAATAATTATTATTAAATTTTACAAATGTCTACTTTTTATCCCTTTTACTTCTCTTTTTCTTCTTCTTAAATTTTATCATCTTATTTCTTCCGTTTTATCACCTTTACCTCTTCATTTTCTTTCAATTAATAATTTCGGATTGCAAAAAATATTCTTACTAAATTTATAAATCGATAAAAATATTTTTTAACATTTTAAATTTATTGATTTAAAAAAATATAACTTTAATTTGGTTGGTTATATTAATTTTTTATTTAAATTTAAATTTTATTAGTTAAAAATAAAATAAAGTTTAAATAATTTTTATAAAAAATTCTTATTTTCATTTTTATTGTTTATTTTTGTTTTTTCAATGAAATACAATTATCTTTTTTTAATGATTATTCTATTCTTTAGCCGCCAATTGTTTCGATATTGGATATTGGATATTTGATATTCCTTACTATATATTGGAAAATAAAAAATAAAATATGAATAATTTCTAAAAAAATTTTATTTTTAGTAATTTGTTTCATAGATGAAACCATGGATTCAGTTCAGATAAGTAATTTTTTAAGATTTTAACAGTGGTTTGAAAACTTAACTTTTTTTTAATCAGTTGAATTAATTTAATTTTTATAATATTTTATAGAATTATTTATTTTTTGTGGTTGGCATTTTAACACCTTTTGACGTTACATTCTTGTTTGGGCAACAACCTAGTCATTTGTCAACAAATATCTTAACGACCAAGACTTTTACAATGGACTTTTTATACCCATAACCCGACAATAAAAATTAGCAATAAAATTAATATGATTAGAGACAAAATTTTCTCTTGCTAATCATAAATTTTTTTGTAATATAAGGAAAATTTACTTCAAATTATGTAGAGATGATGGGGTCTTTGTTAGATGGGTTGGGTTGAATAGTTATTAAAAAAATTTAACAAGGAATTGCAGACAATAAGATCATTAAAAATAATCTCAAAATTTTTATTTTGATAAGGGTTTAGGATATACAGAAAAATGATCCTCAAAGATAATTATGGTAAAAAGGGAAAATAAATAAAATTTAGTTATATGAACTCGCATGTCTCTTTTGAAACCTTCGACCGATTTATTTATTAAAAGAGCTCAATAAATAAACTTGAACTCCATTTATTAAGCTTAACAAATGAGTATGAATAAGTTTTTTCCGAGTCAAATCTTGCATAGCTCAAGAGCAATTTGGCTTACTTCGAGTTCTAGTATATTTTAATATACTTTAAGGAGATGTTTATTTGTTGAAATTTAATATACTTAGCATTTGACACGCTGACCATGTTTCAATATCAAATTGTTAGCTGGTTAAATGGCGTTTTCAAAATTAATAAGTATAAAAATTTTCAGAGGGGTTTAATAGCAGATCAAAGATAAAATATGTGATGATTATTAAAATAAAAAGTAAAGATTATAGTTTTAATTAACACATTCGATAAAATTTAGGGACTAAATAGCAATTCACCCTAACTTTCGCCGGGAAAGAGACGTGAAAAAATTGAAAAAAAAAAAAAAAATCCCAGTGTGAAGTAGCTTCGTCTACTGGCTTGGAGGTAGCCACAACTCCAGATACATACCAACCACAGAAAGCCTCCACATTTATAAATTTAATGAAGTAAATCTCTTGGTCTTTGAAAAGTTCAGCTTCTTTTACATTTTTAGCTTCAAGAGTTAATTAGGGTTGGAGTGTATTCAATGTCTTGTTCGTTTGCTGTGTCGCCTTCACTGAGGTCACAGCTCTTCAGTTATAATAACACCAGGTTTATTGCACCTGCTAGACTAGCTCAGTACAGTAAGCTTCTTGAGCTCCTTTCGTTTTGGTTTCTTAATCAATTCTTGAATTGAATTGGGGTAGTTATTTATTTGTTGCTTTTTTTTTTTTTTGGCTTGAAGGAAGCAAATGTGTAATGAACAGGAGAGGTTTTGCTTTGAAAGGAATTATGGCTTCTAGCGTTTCGGTAATGGGTTCTTCTTTGGCCACTGAACCTGCTCAAGGTCATTTTTTGCTATTTAGCCAATTAAATTTTGTGTATGTTACTGGTTTTCTTTCTTTCTTTCTTTCTTTCTTTTTTTGTTCAATTATATAAAAATGTTATCTAAATTGCATTGATCATTTTGTTTCTTCTCCAATAAGGAAACTCTGTTATTGTTATTAATGGTTTTGCAGCTTTTGCTTAGTATAATTTACTTGATTAGCATAAAGAAATTTGTTTGAGTTCGACTTTTATATTTTTTATAGGGCTGGAGAAGTTGCCATTCAAGCCAGAGGGCTATAATTATTGGACATGGCGAGGTCGCAAAATACATTATGTAGTGCAAGGAGAAGGGTTTCCTATTGTTCTCATTCATGGTTTTGGTGCTTCTGCTTTTCACTGGAGGTATGTTCACTCGTTCTATTAGTTAACAAATGACCCGGTACACATTCTTTGATGCATTAGTGAAGACCATTTGTTGTAGCTTAGGCAATATAAGTTCTCTTTCTGTTCTGTGATGACACTCAAACTATCATTGTTTACACAGATTTTAAGCATAGTTGATCACGCTTGAAACAAAATCCAGTGAGACAATGAATGTTACCATTCTAGCATTTTAAAGCACTAGTAATTGTGATTTGGAAAAACAATACATGTCTTTATTGCTCTTGGCAGTTAGTTTGGGCAGACTGATGTGACTTTTTTGCTTGCGGGTGATCAAATGAGTATTACTTTGATGAAATTCCTCTCTTTACATGTTTGCAGATACAACATACCTGAGCTGGCCAAAAAGTATAAGGTGTATGCCTTGGACTTGTTAGGTTTTGGATGGAGCGAGAAAGCAATTATTGAGTATGATGCCTTGGTGTGGAGGGATCAAGTGGTGGATTTCTTGAAGGAGATAGTGAAAGAGCCAGCAGTTATCGTGGGAAACAGGTAATACTCAAGAAAAATCAGCAGTTTTTTCATAGCATTTTCCTTTGGATATATGTGATAATCCCATAAAATCAAATTTTGTTCTCCATATTATACAAAGTCTTTTCACAAAGGTTTTATGTCTTTTTTAAAGTATTACAGTTCCTTATGCTTAAGGGAAGCCCATTCAAATCATGCAATACTTTTGTACCTTGAGGTTTGTGCCTCAGGGTCCCATAAATACCCTGTTTAAAATGTCCAACATTGCGATAGTAAAGTGCCACTCTAAGCAAACACTGGGGAGCTTTGTACATTTAGATTATGCATCATATTCATGTAGAGTATAAGGATGATCTCCTAGGTTGTAATTTGCATTAAACACTGCACTATAACAATTAGCGTATGAGCTTACACTTAACTGAGCAAATTCCCAAGTGGTGAGGAAAAACATCTATATATTATTTTTTCATGATACATCTGAAAGGTAGAAAATAATCTACTATGCATAGAAATGAAACACTTGATTTGTTTTAATTTATAATATTAATAGCAAAATATGATAATTTACCTTTTTTTTATGCCACTATTAACTCTAGTTAATTTTGCAGCCTTGGAGGGTTCACGGCTTTGGTTTCAGCTGTGGCGTTGCCTGAACAAGTTGTTGGTGTTGCTTTACTTAATTCTGCTGGACAGTTTGGAAATCCAAATGGAGAAACCACAAAGTCTGAAGAATCAGCCTCACAGAAATTTATCTTGAAGCCACTGAAGGAAATTTTCCAGCGTGTAGTTCTTGGATTTTTGTTTTGGCAAGCAAAGCAACCAGCTCGAATAGAATCTGTACTGAAGAGTGTAAGTCATTTCATCCCTAATTTTTGTTTCAACGCATGTGTGGAACTGAGTTTTTATATCATTTTCCTTAGCAAGGAGCTTCTTATATATATGCATGATTGGCTCTAATACTCTTTATCATGCCAAAAATTATTGTTTAATGTATTTATATGGAGTGGGAAAAAGTTTCCTTGCTATGAGTGTCTTCCAATACAAAACTCATGGGGTTATCAACTGTTTACATCGAAATCGATAATACTAGATTGTATCATTGAGAAACCTGTTAAGCTTAAGTCAATATGTTTCTTTGGCATTGAAACCGAGATTGAATTTTTGTTTCCCACTCTTTACTGTGGTATAGCTACTGGCATTAGTGCAACCTACATAATGATGGATGCTTAATAACTCTTGTCATCTGTGAGTTGAAGGATAATCTGTATTGACTTCTTGAGGAAATGGTTTCTGCAACAATGTCCTTTATGTTTATTATTATTTTTATGAGTTTATACTTAACAGTACATTCATCACCTTGATTTTGCAGGTGTATATAAATACTTCCAATGTAGATGATTATCTTGTAGAATCAATAACGAGACCAGCAGCTGACCCAAATGCTGGAGAAGTGTATTACAGGTTAATATGCAAACTTAAATCATCTCATTAGGAAACAGATTTTCTATATTTTTCCCAAAGTGAAGGTAAAATTTTTATATATTTGAAACTTGTCAACTCTATATATGTCAAAATTTGTTGCTTGCTATTATTAATGACGTTATAGTGATAGGCAATACTAGAAAAATGCTTCAATCAGTAGGTTAAAATCCTTAAAACTATTCATCGACATTTACTGTTGACCTATCTTACTAATGATGCCTTTGCGATCCTCTCCTGCAGATTAATGACTCGGTTCATGTTGAACCAGAGCAAATACACTTTAGACAGTGCCTTGAGCGAATTGAGATGCCCATTGTTATTGCTTTGGGGTGACTTAGATCCATGGGTGGGTCCTGCCAAGGCTAATCGAATCAAAGAGTTCTATCCTCGTACAACTCTTGTAAACTTACAGGCCGGTCATTGTCCACATGATGAAGTTCCAGAGCTTGTTAATAGGGCGTTGATGGATTGGATGTCATCTCTAATACCAGAAGTCTCTATGCAGACGGTGTAGAAGTACTTAAATTTTGCAGTATTGCTGCCAAAATCTGCTTTTTGATGTATCACTTCTCGATTAATTGTACGTGCATTCATAGTAATACATTCATCGTCACCGACACCTTCTGGAAGAAAAACAGTGAATTTTAGGCTGTTGACCATCATTTCATGTCCATGCAGCTGCACCTTGTCAATATGATTACATACTTGAGCAACCGACTAGTTTAAAGCTACTTTATGAATTCTTTTGTAATATGATTACAGGAGATGATGTTAGCAATTTTTAATTATTCAAATTATGCTCAAGTAGTAAAGAAACATATTGCAAAAAAAAAGAGCTAGTAACATTAAAAACCCCAGGAAATTGCACCAACCTCCCCCCTAGCACCTCTCTATTTGGAATGATCATGCATGCTCTTAAAATGAATTTTTATTTTCATACACAGTAGGCTAAGAGTGACGTTCTCCAACTTTGTTCAAGTCCTTGAACTATTTCTTTATCAATCAAGTCCTTGAACTTTTTAGAACATTTCAAGTAAGTGCTTTCGGATTGCAAATATTATAGTTTGAAATTAAGGCTGACTTGACTGTTACTTGTTTTGACAAATAAATGCAAATTTGTCAATGGTTACTAGAAGTCTAGAGTGATGATGATATTACTTAATGCTAAAGAAAATCTGAGGTTCTTATATTTATGGATAGTCATGGCTTTCTCTCTTAATGGTGAATATTTTCTGCCTCAAATAAGAACACCTTCGAAACAGGTTTTTTTCAATATGGCATGCTTTGATTTGTCAAATAGCTATTACAATTTCAATTTACCTTTTATATAACTATTCCTGTAAAAAGGATCATCTACATCATGTTGGAAGTTACTTCCTAAGTTGAAATTTTAGTTGAAACAGCAGAATATGCCTTGAAATAATACTAAGATGACTACCTTCTACTATGTTTTATACATTTGTTAATGATATCCTGTTGCTCTTCTCATGTTCTGAACAAACCATTCCAGTGTGCAAGTTGAAGTAAATATGGACCTTCTTTCTCTACTTTTTATTCATGGGAAGCAAAAGACAATGTCTTGATCCACAATATGGGTTACATGTATGACCTTACATTTTAATGAATTCTTTTGGCAATAAGATGGAATGACAGTTTAATTATCGTACTAAATTTTATTTTTCGGTTTGTTCGAAGGCAAAAAGGGTAATACCCCAACTACAAGATACCCACGTTTTCATTACAGGTAATGTGAGCAGAACAAGGGAAATCTTGCTTTCATATGTAAGCAGCCATCTGAAGATTCCAGTCTGTTTGTCCCAAGATCAACTAAAAAGCCAGAGATTGAGCACAAAAATCCAAGAAACCTTGTTTATCAGCTTAGAAATTGCAGGAAACATAATAAATAAATAAAACTATTTAATGGAAGTTGTAATTTTGCTGGACAACAGAATATGAACCAGATGAACTAAGCATTGTCTTCACCGATGTTCCCACTTTGTAATTATCTGTTATATCCTTAAAAATTTAAGCATCTTTCTGCATTTTCTTTTCCTCAGATTCTCCAAAATTTTTCTTTTCCTTGTTGAATTCGTATAATTTTCGAAGCCTATACAAAGAGTTTTTCTAATTTCTTCACTCGCAAAAAGAAACCATGGATTCAATGGAGATTAATACGTTACGATATAGCAAACCTTCTCAGCCTTCATCTGCTCATTCTTTGAAGCAAAGGCGAAGCGGATATGAACCTTCTGATACAGAAACAGATTGGCAAGAAAGTCCATTGCACGATCAGAGTCATCAATATGATGGTATTTTTGGTAGAAAAATGGGTTTGGATTTGCCAAGAAATATCAGTCCTATAAGAAATATCAGAAAAGTTTCATCGAAATTCGAAGATTCTTCTCCGAAAAAAGACTCTAGAGTTAGTCCAGTTCGAAGAAGGAATAGCAGCAAGTCACCATACAAGGCAAGAAAAGAAGAGGGTAGAAATGTTTCTCCAATATCAGTACGAAGAAATGTTAGTCCTTTCTCAAAGTCTGAGTGTAAAAGACAGATTTCTCCAATTAACTCCAATACAGAGAATCATGTTATGCATAACAATGAAGAGAGTATAAGCTCTAGCAGAAGGAAAAATCAAAGAACACCAAATAGAGATGAAAGGAGTCCTTTCTCTCAATTTGGTGAAGTTACTAGAACGAGTGAGAGGTCAGGTCATAGTCGTAGATCATTAACTGCACCAAGACAAAGACCTAGAGAGAAGGATCAAGAAAATAACCAAAGAGCCCCATCGCCTTTGACAAGAAGCATGTCTAATAAACAAAGGGAGAGAGAAGCTACCCATGTACAAACACCTTGTGTTGGTGAACTAAATGAGATGGTAGCTAATATTAAAATGTCCAGAACTCCTGTGTTTAATGCTCCGAATTTTGAAAGCACTGGGTCTATTTCGCCTGGCGATATCTTCTTTTCTCGCGATCGTACAGCTTTGATGATGCAGAAGAATGGCTTGCCAAAGAATGGTAATAATATGACTCCAAGGCCTACAAGTTTTTTAAGTACTAGTAACGGCAATGTCAAACATAACCCACCTAGAAATTTAATGAGTTCCTATTCAAGAACTAGTATGATTACTAGCTCTGCTGTAACTAGTGGAAAGTTTAGTACTGAAAGTAGCAAAATGAGCGAATCGAGTAGAACAACAAGTGGGAGCTTGAAAAAGTTTACAGCAAATATAAAGAAGAGCCAGTCAGATGCTTGGTTCTCCTGTATGAGAAGAGGGTCTTGCAGGAATTCAAGATCATCACCTGAAAAGGGGCAATTGAATGAAGCTTCATTTATAGAAAAGGCTTTTGTAGTCGAAAACTTGAGACAGTTTTGGGCTGATAAACATCAACCTTGCTCTTTGAATGGATTTACTTGCCACAAACAAGAAGCTCAACTTCTTAAGCAAATTGTAAGTTAAAACATCACCTTTTTATAAATTCTGGTTCCATCTCTGAAAAAAAGCATGAGATAATAGAAAAGCAGGGAGCCTTGGGCACTAGAGATGCCCATTTATGTTTGTTTGCCTTTTGTTAGTGGTTACTTTACTTTAGAATACCACTTATTTTCTTTTTATATAACTGCAGGTATCTCTTAACAATATTCCCCATATTCTGCTAAAGGGACCATCTGGTTCTGGGAAAAGATCACTTGCAATGGCTCTTCTATGCGAAATATTTGGTGATGCTTGTCGAAATGTATGTTCTTCTTCCAAAAACGTAACATCTTTCTCAATAGTATAACTATTTGTTGATGCACAAGTTTACAGTATGGAAAAATTTCTTCTTGCAGGTATCACATGATTTAAGATATTTCCAGGTGCAGGTATGTTTTTACCCTTATGTTCATGTTAACCTAATTCTTTCTTTGGGTCAATGAAGGAAAAAAAAACATCGGTACCTATTGTTTCAAGATTAGCAATTTACTCTTATGATTGCAGGAAAAGAGAGCAATGCAGGTTGTTGTTCCAATAACATCCAGTGCTCACCATGTAGAGCTAAATGTAACCTCAGAACCAAATGCTAAATATGCACTAATGGGTTTAGTGAAGGAAATAAGGAACAACTATGCTATTGTTCCTGAAGTCAGCACTGCTACTTTTAAACCAGATTACAAAGGTCAATTTTCTTTTAAACATAATAACATGATTTTTTTTCTTTAAGTTAATCCATATGAAGCTAACATGTTCTCTTCTTAATTTCAGTTCTTGTTCTTTACCAGGTGGACAAAGCAATCGAGAATGTTCAGCACTTAATAAAATGGATAATGGACTGTTATACCGATACTTGTAAACTCATACTGTGTTGTGAAGATGATGTAAACATATTAGAATCAGTTAAGAACCGTTGCAAAGTTATCAAAGTCGATGCTCCTGTAACCCATGAAGTAAGTTATCTATTTATTCCAGTAACTCCTGAACCTTTTTCGCTTCCAATTTTTGATTCAATTTCTATATATGTTCTTGTTTATAGATCATGGAAGTTCTCATTCAGATAGCTAGGAAAGAGGACTTTGATCTACCTATGAACTTTGCTGCTAGAGTTGCTGCTAAATCGAAGCAGAATCTAAGAAAAGCAATCATGGCTCTCGAAGCATGCAAAGCACACAAGTAAGATATTGAACATAACAACACTTACGCAATTTTCTATAAGCATACACCAAAATAATCAATTGTGATAATATTTATGTGGGTTTTGCCTCTGCAGCTATCCTTTTGCTGATGATCAACCGATTCCTTTGGGATGGGAAGAGGTCTTGATAGAACTTGCAACAGAAATCTTAGCTGATCCTGCACCTAAGAGGTATGCTTCCTTCAATTTATTGGCAATTGAACTGCCAATTCATTGACCAATTGTTCCGGTTTAATGAACCAGCTAGGCCTAAGTAATCCTAGAAGTATAAATACAAAACGATAAAAGTAAGATTTTTCCGATAATTTTTCACATTTATGAATTCGGCAGACTGTTTTTAGCACGTGGAAAGTTTCAAAAGCTTCTTGTGGATTTTGTGCACCCAAAACTAGTTCTCCTGGTAATGCATTTGATACCTAAGCTAGAAGTATATATTCAATTTTATCATTTGGCAATAATTACATTTCTGACAAGTGTTGTGACTCTGACAAGCAGAAACTCGCCGAACAATTCCTCAAGGGAGTGGAGGCTAGTTCGAGAAGGGAACTTTATTACTGGCATGCTTATTATGTAAGTTCAGAGGAACATATAAATTCAGATTTTTGTCCTGTAAATATACGAAAGAAACTAAATCTTATTGTTATTAACAGGATAAGAGGCTCCCAACAGGATCAAGTGCTTTGCTAAAATTAGAAGGTAAAATGGATAAATCATTCTAGAAAACAATAGTTCATATTTCTATCAAAATGAGGAATCTAATTACAAGTGTTTCTGCAGAATTTGTGGCCAAGTTCATGAGCATACAAAGAAAGAATTCCGGTTCGAGTTCCAATCGGTATGAGTAGTGCAAATGGTGCTGGTTTGAGATCCTCTATCTATATGCTTATACACATGTTTATGTAATGCTACTTGAAAATTGAAAATATATCAGTTTCTGTTGTTTTATAACATGAAAGGTGAGGATTTTTCTGTATAACTTGTATGTACTGCGGCTTTCAATGAAAGATCAATTTGAACTGTTCCTCTTCCACCACCAAGGGCATTATTATATCAGAGCTTGCTGGTAAAAGTCAATGTCTATATGACCAGGATTTATATTAGTTTATACTAGGCTCTACATTTCTTGTAATAAAGCAGGAAGTAAATCCACTTGCAAATTAGACAAAATAATCTTGAATTTGAATATTATTTTCCAATAGAAATTGAAGTTGTACATTATAGAAAAACACAATCGGCTTTTACATTTCCAGCAAGAGTAACTTCACAATAACCAAATCTTGCACCACAACATTTACTTATTTATCAAGAAGCTAATTAACCAAAGCTTCCATTATTCTTTGAATGGCTAGCCATGCACAATTTCCATAAACTTACTTCTTGCAGAAGCTCCATGGGTGCAATCCGGGGTGTGATAATCGATGGAATCTCTTTGTTTAATCCATCCTTAAGAGAGAAAATGCAAGATTCACAATCTGCAGAAAGAAGTGATGTAGTTCTATATATACTTACTTTCACCTCCTAAAACTGGCATTGCCACACCTGGGTTTTCAAAATTAGGCCTGTAAGTTGTACCCAAAACTTTATTAACTTTAGGTGACAAGTTAAAGAACCTAAATTTCACCTCCAAATGGACAAAGCAGTTGTTTTTTTCTTGATACTCTTTCTACTTTGACATCTTTTTCTGGTGAGTGCCAAATGGAAAGTGACTTCAGGTATGACTAAATTTTGACCATTGTAAGTGAATTTTTAAATGGTCAACTTAACTGACTTTGTTGCTTCGAGAGAAAATGTGTTAAGAGTTGCAAAGAATTCTTAAGGCCTGAATCGAAGTGCAGTCTCTGGTTCTGCCTTCTGCTCTAAATCTATTTATTTATTTTCTTTAAATTAAAGCTTGTTATTTAATCTAAGCGTTAGCTCATATTTGAAGCATTTTTGTTTACAAAAGCCTTTGCTTTATATATAGAAGGGAAGCAGTCACGTAGGTGATTACTGATGAATGAAATTGGGTGGCAGGAATTTAGCAACTTGAGAACATTATTATTAATTAAGGATTAACTTTGCAATTTAATCATAATTAATTAATAATAACTATAACTATATATAAATAACTATAACTATATATATATATATATATATGATATATATATATAATATATATATATTGCTTTTCAATGCTATATATATGCTGGTTTCATGTTTAATTAAATTCAGTTATTGGTACCTGGCCCAAATGCAAAGGGGAATAATTCAATTAGGTAGAAGAAGTGATTTCTCCTGACAAAAGTAGCCTCGAACATGACAATCTGCAAGTTGATTCATATTAAGTAGCTTAACCCGCAGGTTGCTTCAGATAAATATTTATACGGTTAAAAAATATAATATGAACTAATCAAAAGAAAATAAATTTCTATCATGCCATTGAGAGAGCCTTTTTATTTGTTTTAATTGATACATGGTTCTAATTGCTCTAATCTTTTCTGCTTCCAGAATCCCATTACTAGTAATACAATTGGGACATGTAGGAGGAAAAACTTCCTTTATGCTTGTTTTGAAAATCAGACCAATTGGGTGAACCAGATTCAAGCAATTAAACTGGGTCAAAACCGAGAAAATTTGACAAACCAGAAATAATAAAATAAAAAACAAAACATGATAAACATTCCATGCAAGATCTGCATAACCAACAGCAGCCACCATATTGGCCATATAGTTTCAATGTCACATCAAATACAGAATTTTCATCCAATATGTATGCAGAAATCTACCTGGATTATATTTTGTTAGCTATACATAAGAAAAGTGAGTCAGTTGTTTCAGTAATACTACCAAGGTTTTTACCAATATGCAATTTCCAAAAGCTGCTGTTCTACTCCTGCCTTCTTTACTGGTTTTGCAGGTTTTAGTCCATAGCTCTGCTGCTACTTGCAGATGATTTCTTACTGGTATAACTCTGTCAAATCAATGGAACATCTTAAAATGCTTATACAAGTAATAAATTAATGAAACTGCTTAACTTACAAATATATGTGATGAAGATAACAAAAAAAAATGACCAAGTAAAGATTTTGCAATACTAAGCATATATTTTTTGAACCAACTGACCTGCTTTCCAATATCGAATGGGATGTATTTGTACTTTATCATATGTATGATTTGGCGTTTCATTGTGAGAACAAATAGCACAATCCAGTAACATAACAATATTGGCCAAAAAACAGGCACATCCAATACAGAGAAGAAGGTCAAAACAAAAGCCACAACAAAAGCCTTAGTAATTGCATACCTGAAATCATGATGAAACAATATTAACTATCAGAAACTTCCTGAAGATTTGACAGTTACACGCACACACTCTCTCTCTCTCTCTCTCTCTCTCACACACACACACACACACTTAACACTTCCACAAAACTAGTCAACACAAGACACGACGAGATGCAATGAAGCTGATTGTGAAGGACAGGGAACACTTAATTCTTTAGAAGCTAACTGATTTTCAAAAAAATTCTGAAGGAACACCACTGTCTGGCCATTGAAAAATATTTTCAACAACTGTTTCCAATAACTGTAACTAGAACATGGAATTGTTGGGATATCCATACAAGACCTACATTACTACCGGAATCAACAGCCCAAAAGCAATGGGGAATCCCCCAAGTCAATCAGAAAATAGAGATAGAGACTGGAATAATAACTTCATGAATGAAGGTAATATCCAAGCAAAACCCACATCAGTCAACATATATATAGAAGCTAAGGCAGAAAATCAAGGAACCCTTTCCTTTCTTTACTGTTCCAGGTTTCCAGCACAAGTAGAAAAAACTCTGTTATGATACATCAAAGTTCATGAAATTACTAAAAAATACAGAATGCCAAAATTCAAAAACCCTTTTTTTTCATCAATAGGACATGCCACATAAAAGCCAACATGTTATTAATTTCTGGCAAGTTTGGTCAAAGCTTCCTAAACCGGCTAAATATACATTGTTCAAATGAATTCACACTTTTACCAAAAGCAGCCTCACATGCAAGCCAGTGGATAAACAACCATTTGATATCAAGTACCCAGAGCTACTTTGGGTGAAGACTGAAAGCATGAAGCTAAAGTCAATCCATTCTTCAATAAAGAAAACATGACAAGTGAAAATTAAGAACATGCTAGACAACACAGGCAAATGCAGTATATAAGCTTATTCTGAAAACCAGAAAAGAAATAATCATAATAATAAAAGGTAAACTTGTAATTGATAAATATTCGTAAATCGTGTGCGAACATGGGGAAACATATGAACTGACCAAAAAGGATATTTGTATAATTCGTATATATTTTATGAAACTGACCAAAAAGGATATTTTGTTATAATGTCGATATATATTGATTTATATATCCAATATATTATATTTATTTATAATTAATAAGTATATATTATATATATATATATATATATATATATATTATATATAATAATATATATATAAGGCCATTATATTTTTAATAATAAATTATATATAAGGCCATTATATTTTTTAATAATTAAATTTGTTCATAATATCATAAACAAACTTATGTTCTAATTTTAGCCACGTTGAAAACTTCCGAATTAATATAAATTGATTCCTGATTGCTACAATTTTAATTCTTCCTATTTAATTTGGTTTGGTACTTAACATAAATAAACTACTTCGTAACTAATATACCTTTTATTCCTCCTATTTAATTTCATTGAATTCCTATAAATATAAAAAATATACATAATTTTAATGTTATACAAGCACATAAGCAAATATATCAAGAGAAAAGTCATAGGTACGCGTATGAATTTTTTTTTCTTTACTTATTGTTTTACTATATGGTTTTTCTATATTACCATTAGACATGAAAAATCATTTCTGCATAAAAATATTGCTTATATGTCTTTAAACCAAACTAATTTGTATGCTATGTTTGCTTGATATCAATTAACTTAATAAAATTTTAGAAATTCAGTAAAATTATACCACCAAAACTTCTTTTACTTCGTTGCTCATGCCAAAAATAAAATTTTCATAATATTATAGATACAACAACTCTTCAAAATAGAGTAATTAATTTGGATGTGAAAACAGAAAAATAACAAATTACCAGAACTTAAACTCAGGAAGGCGGCGAATGAAAGGCTTGAATTCATCAGAACCTTTAGTTGGCAAGGAAGCCCCATCCAAAGCTTCAAGCTCAGGGTCATCTTTGGGCGATAGAAAACCAATCAAGAGATTCAAGATATATATCCCCAAACCGTAGGAAACAACATAAAACCCTCGAATATAGTAAACACGTAAAACGTATATCATTGCCAACGCCAATGTTCCCAGCCACCTCCGCAAAGTATGAGGGGTTGACCTATCCAAGTAATACTGAAATGCCCTTGAAAAATCACTTCTCCATTTGGCAGCAGGTGATCCACTTTCATCTCCCAATCCCTCCATGATACTAAAGATTGTCCTTGCACTGTTAAATTAAATCCCTTTAATGCCTAATTCAACAGCATTCAAAGAACAAGGAAACTAACAAGGCAAGCTTTAAAAGTTACCCTCTTTCAAAAAAAAAAAAAAAGTTACCAAGAAAATTCATCAAGAAACTATAACCCTGGAAACATTTACTAAAATATGAATGAAATCAAAATTATACTGATTCTAACCCTAAATCTTATGCTGCAAATTCTCGCTAACCAAACAGAGAGTTGAATAAGAAGAGCTCAAGTGACATGCGAGCTAAGTTAGGGTTAGAATCGAAGTGAAAGATCTACTTTAAAAGAAAGACGAATTACCAGAAAATGATAGCTCTGCGATAAGTCAGACGACTAAGAAATTGAATCGATGAGTAGTTGAGGGATAACTCTTGTTGTTTTTATTTTCTCCGTTTTTTGCACTGGAATTTATCAATTTGAGAAATTTTAAAGAGAAGGAAACGTCCAAGGACGTTCAGAGAATTGGCTTGAGCGGCGTCGTTTTTCAATTTGGAAAATATGTAGTAAAAAATAGGATTTGCGAAATACAACTGATCTATCTTTATTTAAAAAATAGACTAAAAAATAGGCTTATGCTTTATTTCCATTAGACTATAAAGTTCTTTGATTCAATTTTTATATTTTTTTCATTAAGTATCTTATGAAATAACATGAAAATACCCTTTTTATTTTTAAAAACACATGAGTATTGACCAAAAGGACTACAATATAATTTGTCCATCTAATTATATTTTAGTATAATTAGATGTATTTTTCAAACCATTGGGACTGCAATATAATTTTTTTGGTATAATATTTTAGTATCTCTCCTTCAACCTCTATTTTCTTGTTGTCTTAACCAAAAATTGAACATAATGACTTAATATTATAACAGAAGTAAAATATAAGGACAAATTAATATATTTTAAAAAAGATAGAGATGGATTAGTTGTATATTTTTCTTCAAAAATATAAAGAGTATTGACTCTAGCAATTTTTTATTCAGGTTATTATTTAAATTTTCTTGAAGGTCAATGATAAGCTTTCATTGACTTTAAATCATCAAACAAAATATAAGCAATAGAGGAGAGATAAGACCTTCCAGTAGATCATAAATAGACAAAGCTTGAGTTACTAAGATGTGAGAAATACGATTTTGATCATTTTTCAAAAGAAACAGAACTTACAAACAATTCTTTAAAATACAATAGAATCAAAATATGAAAATTCAAAATATGCAGGCTGAAGGTGAATAAGATATGGGAGAGGATGAATCAAATGAGGGACTTAGTGATGTGGATTGTGATAAGGAAGATTATGTGTCTAAAGATGAGGAGGGAGATGAAGTAAGTGAAGCAAGGAAGAGAAGAAGTAGAAGGATCCTTTTAAGAAATTGAATGAGAATGTGTTTATTGCACCTCAAGAGGGTCCTATTGCATTGAAGATAGGGCATGTTTTCTATAATGTTGATCATTGCAGAACTAATTTGAGGGATTATGCAATTAGAGGAGGATATTTAGTCAAACTGATCAAGAATAATAGTGTTAGGGTAACAACTAAATGCAAGGTTAAAGGCTGTCCCTTTAGGTTCCATGCTAGTGTGGCTCCTAACTTGACCACTTTTGTTGTGAAGACCTTACAAGCTGAGCACACTTGCATAAGGAGCTGAGCACACTTGCATAAGGCCTATTGGTAATAAAAATTCAAATGCTACAACTAAGTGGGTGAAGCAAAAATTGGCTGAACAGTTGGCAGTTGACCCAACATGAGTTTTGAGCTAATGTAGAGTGAATTGATGAAAAAATGGGGTATTGAGCTTGACTAATGGCAACTGCATAAAGTAAGAAGTGAAGCAAGACAATAAGCTGAGGGCTCACATGAAGAGAGCTACAAAAATCTCCAATAATATATAGCAAATTTGCAAAGGTCTAACCCATGCACTTTCATAAAATTTGAACCTATGCCTAGGAACTCAGAATCTGATCCAATTATATTTGGAAGTATTTTTATTTGCTTTGAAGCAATGAAACTTGGATTCTTAAATGGGTGTAGACCCTTCATTGGAGTTGATAGAGCACACCTCAAAGCGCCATATGGTGGATGCTTTTTAAGTGTTGTTTTTGTTGATGGCAATAGAGATTTTTTACCCTTAGCATTTGCAATTATGCAATCAGAATGCACTGCAAGTTGGAGCTTTTTCCTTGACTGCCTATTTCAATGTATTGGAGGTGGAAATGAGGACAAGCCACGAACGTTCATGTCAAACCGACAAAAAGGTATGTTATTTGACATAAACTTTTACTTTTTCTCATTGAAGAATGTCTTTCTTATATGATGTATTATTAATGTGTGTGGAGTTGGTAAATTAGTTGCTTACAGTTTAGACATTTCCTATGTTATACATTTTAATTTTTTTAGTTTCTTATACATGATTAACGATTACTTGAGGCAGTTAGAATGCATTTTCTCAACGCTTGTCATAGATTCTACTGTTGACATCTCGTTATGAATCTTAAAAAACAATTTCTTGGAGTTATGCTCAGAAAAGAATTTTGGATGGCTGCCAAATCTACTTATGCTTATGAGTTCAGACAACACATGAAAAATATTAAGAACAAGCATGCAGGGAAGTCAGCAGGTTGGTTGCTTAATATACCTCTGTCACATTAGTGCAGACATGCCTTTTAGCCAGAGGCCAAGTCGGATGATGTCACCAATAATATGACAGAAAGTTTTAATAGTTGGGTGGACAAATTGAAAAACAAACCTATTATAACTCTCATTGATAAAATAAGGCAAAAATGGATGGTGCGGTTACATAAGAGGTTTACGAAGGCTTGTAGTTGGGAGGGTAGAGTAACACCAAAGTGTAGAGAGAGTTTGACTAGGTTAATTAAATAAAATAGGTATTGCAGGATGTTGCCAAGCAATTCTGACGAGTTTGAGATCATTGAGGGCCATATTGCTTTTGCTATTGACTTGAGTAAGAAAAATTGTACATGTAGTTGGACGAAATTTTAGGATTGCCTTACTATCACGCCCGACTCTAATCACTAGAGAAATTGTCCGCTTTGGATAAAGCCGAATCCATCCCATATTGGATTGGCAGGATCCGCACGATTTTGTCCCGCAGGTGAAATGAGAAATTTTCCAGGTGGTCAACCATCTTAGGGTTTCCGTTAAGTGAGCACGCTTAACCTTGGAGTTCTTCCAACTTTTCAAGCCATTTCACCAAAAGGCGCCTCTGTTGATTAATTTTCCCCTTTTCGATATATGATTCGATTCATTCCTGTGTCCCGCAGTCGGGATATCACAGGGCCACTAGCTGCCGCGTGGTGCGTCCTCGAACCATCCATCTACTGGAAGAGGTCCGGCTCTGATACCACCTTTATCACGACCCATTTCTAAGGGTCGTCGGACCGGCCCTTGAAAACGGGTCATGACACTTGCAAGCATGCTTGTCTTGCAATTGGCTGTAAGACGGGCAAAGTTGAAGATTATTGTCATGAGTATTATAGTATTGAAATGTATAAAAAGACATACAATGAAGTGATACACCCTATCCCTTATTACAACCTCCAGCCTAAGACATAATTTTTCAATATCCAGCCACCTAATCTCAAGAGAAAGGTTGGCAAACCAAGAGAGAGGAGAAAGTTGCAAAATGGTGAGGCTGCACCAAGCACTACTAAGAGGTTAGCCACTATAAGATGTTGTTTTAAAAGCAATTAGGGCATAATAAGAGAATGTGTGAGAAAGCTCCTCCAGTTCCTACTACTGCAGTTGCAAAAGTATGATGTGATGATGATTTGTATTTTTTTTTTTTAAATTGTTGTGTTGTTTTTGAATACAAGATGCATTGTTATAAGAAAATTAACTTCACTCTTGCTATATCAAACAAAGAAGAAGAGAACACAAGTGGGAGATGGTGCTGCAAGTGCAGCTTCCAATAATGAAGGAGCAGTAGCTACTAGACAGAGTTCTACTGTAATATAGGACATATGAACTTGTTGATTTTGGACTGAGAGACTTAGTGTCTTTGCGGTTTAATCTCTCTTTCATGTAATTAATTAGGTTGGCAATATATATTTTTGGCAGGTAGCTTTTTTGGTTGTTTGTAATGTAATTAATCCTTGCAAACAACTGCTATTTTTGGATTTTGCTCTTATGATAGGCATTTGTGTTACAAGAGGGACTCTCTGTAAAGAAATAGGCATTTGTGTTGAGTTCTGTTTATAATACATGGCAATACAGGTTATTTACCTATAGGTTGTGGCTTAGTTAGCAACGCAGGCTAGACATGTGGGAAGAGCTCTCTGATTCGATCCCACTAAACACACCTGAAAGGAGGGGCAAAGAGCCTTAATGACTAACATAATTTATTGCTCCTTAAAATATTCAAAACGATTTATATTTTCTGATAAAATAATCAACTTACTAAATTAAAAGTAAATTTACTAAAATTGAAGAAATTCACATCACCATGTAAAGTAAGTCCCATAAAAACTAACAAATAAATAGAGTAAGTAAACAGTGGAGCAGACCCAGTGGCTAAAGGAGAAGAATATTGAAGCTGAAGAGGCTTTTCTCGCTTAAGAAAAATATTGCAAGGGCTATGTTGGCAACAACCAGAGGATTTAAATACAGGTAACTATTGTCCAACTTCAACCTACCCAAAACCCTCACCCACCCTCTCTTAAGCCCTTTCAAGGTCTCCTCCTCCCGTTTCTTCTCTGGCCTGCTCCACAGGTTCTCCTTACCAAGCTCCTTCAACGCGAGTGGGCACCCACAACGGCAGCTTCCACTACGACGAGGCTCTTGGCTGCTTCATGATTCGCCTCGCCAACGAGTTCTCTAGGCCGAAATCGTCCGCTCCCGATATCTCCAGTTCCAATTAGCCTAACCATTTTCTAGTTTAATATATTAGTAGCTTAGAATACGAAGCATGGTATTTTTACTAGTGAAAAATAAAAAGAAAAAAAAGTTAGAATTTGGGCCTGGTTTGCTTCTCGGATTGACATCCAGTACGGCGGGATTAGGATATACCTATTTTCAGTTATCCCAAGCTTTACCTCAAATTTAAACGTGGAATAAGTATAAGTTGTTGCTAGTCAAATGTATGGATTTATTATTACATGTGGGAAGAGTTCTCAGATTCGATTCTCAATTAAACACACCTGAAAGGAGGAGTGAAGAGCTTTATTTGTAACTAAGCCTCAAGTTGAATTAGGCATGTGAAGATAATATTGCAAAAATATAATATTACTCATTAAAATATTCAAAATGATTTATATTTTCTAATAAAATAATCAACTTAAAACGACATATATTTTAGTATGGAGAGAATAGCAAATTATAAGTAAATTTACTAAAATTGAAGAAATTCACATCACCATGTAAATTAACTCGTGTAAAAAAATAAATAAATAAATGGAGTAAGTAAACAGGGGATCTTAATTTTTATACTCATATAAAATATCAC